TTATAAATGACCTTTAAACCTTTTTAAAAGGTACTTAGCAAGCTTTTTGAGTCCTTTTAGGCATATATCCACATAAAAGCTTAATCACATTTGTCTCTCATGGGAATGGCTTGGAGATTTTATGTACTTGTATAGGTTTACCCAAATGGATGAGGAGTTTGCCCATATATTCTTGGGATATATTTCAACGCATTGATTTTGATTTAATATTTAAAGAAGACCGTTCATTTTCCTGCTATATTGGGACTAGAGGACTTGTAGGCAGTAGTGTTAGCTAGATAAAACGGTGTAAAGTGTGAGTCAAACGTACTATAACATTTTAAAACCGTGACGCATTTTGGTGCATCACCTGGTGTCGAGGAATTTTCTGGGAGTGTGTGGGGTGAGAACTGGATCATTTCTCATTTCAGTCTATCAAAGTAGCTATTGTGTCAGAATCCTACCCTCTAGTTTAAAAATAATGTAGCAGCGCAACTTAAGACAAGTGTGATTAAAATTAACTCGTGCCAAGTGAAAGGCTTTGAAAGCATCTTTGTCTGCGCTTTAGAGTAACCAGAGTATGTGATAGCTGAACTCGATGGTGTGAGATTTATTAGTGCCAGATGAAACACTTCTGATCCTTTTTCGACTTTGTTTTGGTAACACTTCTTCTAGTCACTCCCCCGCTGCGTATCTCTCTCTTTTTTTCCCGCCTCAAACAGTTCCTCGCTCATTACTGTTCTTTTTTTTTTATACAGCAATTGGAGCCACTTTCATTCGTTATTGATCTGTTTTCTCTTCCCTTCCTTTACCCTTTCCATTCCTTTTTAAAGCAGCAGCTTTGCTGAAGTAGTCCCAGAGTAGTGTTGATGCACTTTGACCCGTCGTGAGCAGCCGCCTTCTGCATAGTGTCTGTTGTTGGTCGCCTAATCCATAATCTTCGGACATGTTTGTGTTATTTATTTATTTATTTATTTATTTTAATGGCTTTATGGTCATTTGGCTGCAGCCCACGCCTTTCTTTTATGGTTGTATCTGACTGAGTTGTATCAGTCCATATTTTTTTGGACATGTATTGATCTGCTTGTATGTGCTTGCTAACTATCAAGAGACATTTTCGAAGTTCAGTGTCAGCACTGTCAACGTAATTGGACTTTATTGCTAAAATGAAGCATCAGAAATAGATTCCTGTCTTGGATTGCTTGGCTTCATTAAATCTAGTACCGTGGAGGTTCTGGGAATTGATTCTGAATCCTGACTGTTGAGTAGATAGTATATTTGTAGCGCTTATTTGATCACTGCAAATCACGACGAAAGCACTTTTGAAAGCGCACATCTGTTCGCTGTGGAGAACATGTTACATACACACCCGGTTATAGACACTTGGAGTAGTGTAGAGGAGACAATTTACTCACTTTCTGCCCTAACACTGTCTTTCTGTCTCTTTCTCTGTCTCTCTGTTTTTTCCTTCAGCTGGCTTTAACGTGTATTTTCTCTCTGTCTTTCTCTCTCATTTTCTCTTTCTGGCCTTTTCTTGGAGCTTGTTTTTGCTGCCTCTTCTCTCTAACAGCTTCCATTAAAAACCTTTAGCTGTATGTTCGACTGGTTTATAAGCTACAAATTAATAATGAGGAGTTTTTAAAAACAATCAATCGTTTCAGTTTCACAGCCGAGTCTGAGCGAGAGAGGGAAGAGTGGGTCGAGGCCGTGCAGGAATCGATCGTTGAAACTCTGTCCAATTACGAAGTGGCTGAGAAGATTTGGTTCAACCAGTCGAACAGGAGCTGTGCCGACTGCCGAGCTTCCCTTCCCGAGTGGGCCTCCATTAACCTCGGAGTGGTCATCTGTAAAATGTGTGCAGGTACACACATGTCGAACAGCACTTGCACATAAACATTCACACACACTCTCGTGCACTAAAGTAAAGTACTGACCTCTTGACCTGTATCTGTATGATTTTACGCATTATGTACGTCATGAAGATACAGGTCAAGACCTTGTTCCTATTAAAAAAAAAAACATTAGAAGGGGGGAAATATATGATCTCAGTCACTTTGACTGTTGGTGCCAGACAGACTGGTTTGAGTAGTTCAGATACTGCTGATCTCCTGGCATTTTTCACACACAACAGTCTCTAGAGTTGACACTGAATGGTGCATAAAACAAAAAAACAAAACATCCAGTGTGGAAATGTCTTGTTGATGAAAGAGGTCAGATTGGTTGAAGATGGGAAAGTACAGGTGACATTTTTCTAATCTTCAGACATCCAGTTTTGGTGAGCCGGTGAGCACTGTAGCCTCAGAGTCTTGTTAGTGGCTGGATCAAATCACAGACCTGGGGAAAATATGCCACTCATGCTTTGGTCTGGAGCTCCGCCTCAACTGTCAACCAGCACACACATTCGAGAAGAATATAAAATGCAGGGAAACTTCAAAAGAAAGAAAATGCTCCCCTGAGAAGTGGCAGCTGAAACACGTATCAGAACAGTCTGATTTGCTGTGCCGGTATGTGTCCTGAAATGCTTTTCTGCGTACCACAGTTGTAAAGAGTGGTTATTTGTGTTACTGTAGCTTTCCTATCAGCTCGAACCAGTCTGGCCATGTACACACGGAATTATAATGAGTAGTTAATCTTAGGGAACTGTGTTAACCTTATTGGCGGCTGTGGCACAGGTGGTAGAGCGGGTTGTCCACTAATCGTAGGGTTGGTGGTTCGATTCCCGGCCCACGTGACTCCACATGCCGAAGTGTCCTTGGGCAAGACACTGAACCCCAAGTTGCTCCCGATGGCAAGGTAGAGCCTTGCATGGGAGCTCTGCTACCATTGGTGTGTGAGTGGGTGTGTGTGAATGGATGAATGAGACATAGTGTAAAGCGCTTTGGAACTGCTAATGTTAAAAAATCACTATATGTGTGCAGACCATTTACCAACTTTTTAGCACCAAGTGTGTTCTTGGGTAATTTTTCTCCTCCTGTTAGCGATGCTGTATATGGTGTTGGACAAGTGGTGGTGTACTCTTAAGGAGATCCTGAAACTTGAGCAGGAGTTTACTTCTGGTTATATTTTTGTGCATTATGTAAGTATGTGCTCCCCTCAAATTGGACAAAAAGCATACAGTGTCTCAAAGTTGTGTCGTTCTGACTGAATATTTCAGCATATTGGATGAGAAAGGAGGTGTTTCCTATACGCGTCTTGTAATATAGATGCCGACAGCCTCAAATTAAAGTTGAAATTCTGCACTTTAACCTCAATTTATTCAGTGTTTCATTTCAACGTGCTGCAGTCGTGAGCCAAAACAAAAACATCAGTCATTGTCCAATTAGTTGCAGACTGCATTGCATAATTCTAAGCCATGGTGGAGTTACCATGGTTACAGAGATTTATTTGATCAAATATGATTCACTCAATTTCTTTTTCTGATAGACTTGGCTCCCTTTACACAGTCTGGAGCATATATTGTTAGCTGTCTAGAGTATGGTAATCATAATAAATCTGAATACATTTCTTAACTGTCCATATTAAATGAAAGAAAGTTCCACTTGTCCTTTGCCAAAGGTTGTCAAGCAAATCTGGTAAATGCGATGATAACAAGACCTGTGTGTTAAACATTTAACAGCTGAAGAATCCTGGGCTGAATCTCTGCAGTAGGGATCGTTTAATTGGTAATAAGTTTGTGAGCGACAATAAGATGGAGAATGAGAGAGGTAAAGAAAATCTTATGTGTGGCTAATGATTAGACAAGCACAATGTGTTTTTAAGAGGGAGAAGCAAAAATAAAGTAGAGAAGCAAAAATTAGGCCTTGAGAAAACAAGAAGACTGAAGTGCTTTGTTTATTTAACTTGTAATGAGCAGAGGTTGGGGTAGATGATTGCTGCATCTCAGCTACTTTTCCTTAGGAGGAAATGGCATCATGCTTTGAGAGATGAAGCCACTAAAGGATAGTAATTTAGAATCACGTTTACAAATCTTATGATGCACCCCTTATACTCTTGCCATTTATTTATTTTTTTATTTTTTTATTCTCCCTCCCTGTCTCAGCCTTTTTGACAGTTATTGAGGTGCTCTCGCCTCCCCTGGTGCAACTGCAATAAGCTCTCTACATCAAACGTTGAGATAATGGACATTCCCCCAGTACAAACTCCTGTTTCCATAGGAACACTTTCTTCACTGTTTTTCTTTTCTTTTCTTTTGCACAATTTTAAGACTGTTAATAAATTAGTTTTTCTTACTTTCTATTGTAGGAAGCTGACCTGTGATGAGCTTGTTTGTTTAAATGAAAAACTTCTATTTCATAATTAAATGCTAATTATGTTTTTATAAACATTATTGATGATACAAATGTATTGTTGTCTTCAATAGTTGCATGTTGTTTTTGCTATATTTATTATGTGCATTAAACATAAAAAGCACCCTCATTTGAAACTGAAAAGCAAAATTTATAATGCACACAGTTCCCGGTCATGTTAGGTTTTTCGACATCTTTGATGGCTTTGGAGGTCTCCATATTATCACTAATTACACAAGAGGGTTGCTTAATCCATATTCATATAATGTGTTTCTCTCAATGTTTAATTCATCTCTTTTGCTCATAAACAACGACAATGACGCCTCAAGTTCAGCTAAGCAAACACAGGCCAACAAACACAATTAATTACTCATGATTCATTTGCAATTAATGCCTTTTTATGCCTTTCATTTGCAATTAGAGCTGTGACTAGTGAGAAATAAGGTCTTGAAATGGATGGGATTAGTGTGATAATGAGTTCCAGCTGAAGCTGAGTGCACAGGATAGGGTGCTGTGCATTTCTGAGCTTTTGCAGTTTCATAGTTTTGGTTTGAAAAAAAAAAAAAAAACTTTCTATATAGCAAAAAATAAATAAATAAAAAGTAAAAAAAAATCATCTTTCCCCCCTCTTTCTGCTGCTCCTGTTCGGGGTCACCACAGTGGCTCAACTGTTCCTGACGCAACACTCCCCATTTGCTGGGCTTTGGACCGGCACTGAGAGTGGCTTGTACAAACCTCCCTGACTGGGAATTGAACCCGGGCTATGGCGGTGAGAGTGCCGCCTGTTAGCCTCTAGTCCACCATGGATTGGCCACTCATTTGGTTATCTGATTCATATGAAATTACCATAACAACCCAGATTGAAGTATTTTTTATTATTTTTATAATATATATATATATATATATATATATATTTTTTTTTATTACATCTAACTTTGCTTTTCTGGGATGAAATATATTTAAGGCAATCACACAGGGCAGGGAGAGAAACATGAAATGCACTACAAAGACAATACCACTTTTAACTTGTGACATGAGGCCAACGTGCCACACTGGAAAGCAAAACCTTCATTGCTATTTTTTTTTTAAAGACATAATCGTCTTCATTCCAGAGCTGAATATACTTCCATGTTTCATTACATTTCACTTTCATCAGTGTGTCACAGCCATGCCACACTGAAATGCAACCTCTGCAAATGCATTGATCACACTTGAGCCATATTCGGGGAGTGCGTGATTCTGATCAGAGAAGGTACTAAAGGTCCCCAGAATGTTGTTTTCCAGTAGGTTTAACCATCCATAAAAGAATGTCTTTTTCGATATTGTTTCTTCATTCCTACTGCACTGATGTTGAACTCGTAATTAGTTCAGTTTTCAGAAATACTACTAGAATATGATCAGATTGTTTATACCTCCAGGGTTGGGGGTATGATTTCTGATTTCACCTTGTTTGAACAAAGCTAACATGTTCTCCCCATGCTTTGGGGGTTTCCTCCAGGAACTCTGGTTTTCTTCCACCAGTCCAAAGACCTGCGTTGTAGACTTATTGGCATTTATGAATTGTATATAGTGTGTGAGTGCGTGTGCAGTTGTGCCCTGCGATGGGTTGGCACCCCGTCCAGGGTGTCCCTTGCCTTGTGCCCCGAGTTCCCAGGGATGAACTTTAGGATGAACCCTGTGTAGGATAGGTGATCTAGGAAATGGATGGAGGAGTTCCATATAAAGCTTATTTCTGTCAAAAATGTTAACAGCTGAAAGTATGGTGGTTGTAGGGCAGTTAGCCTTTACTTTAATACTAACTGCTACTGACTAGCTTTTAAGCTCAGCATTTTGAGACAAGGATTAGACATTTAATTAAGTCTGCACTTCTGATCAGTATCAGTCTGACATTGCTGTAACTATTGTAGCTTTTTCTGAGAGTCTGGTCATAGGTTAGTTCCTTTGAGATCTGTGGTAACTTTGTAACTTCAGCATTTGTGTGTGTGTGTGTGTGTGTGTGTGTGTACTGCTCACAGGTCAACATCGGTTCCTGGGCTCCGGTATCACACAAGTGAGGAGTCTGAAGTTGGACAGCAGCATTTGGACCAATGAACTGGTGGAGGTAAGTAAAAGTAAGGTGTAGGAAATATCGCCAAAATATTCTATCTCATATACCAAGATATTTGATATCATGATACAAATTATCTGTTGTTAGCATTATGCCAGCAAAACTATAGCACCACAAAGAAATCCTAAAAAAAAAACATGACCTGGGTCAGTGTTCTAGAAGCCATGCTGGCTGCTTTGGTGTTCTTAAAAAAGCATGTTGTGTAGTGATTTATCACAATATCAGCCTCATAATGTATTACAGGCATTCTGAGTAGCAATCCATCTGGCGTTTATCTCGATGAATTACTTATGTGTTTGATTCATTTGTTTATGTTCAAGCTCTTTTTGGAAGTTGGAAATGAGAACGTCAACAAATTCTGGGCTGCCAATCTTCCAGCGGAGGAGGAGCTTCATCAGGGGGCGTCTCCAGAACAGCGTGCAATCTTTCACCGCAGGAAGTACAGAGAGAGGAGGTACAGGAAAGTTTTGGAAGGACTGAACAGCCAGGAGGAGCTCAACCAGGTGTGTGTGTGTGTGTGTGTGTGTCTGTGGGGTGGGGGGGATGGTCCATTTGTACTCTGTATGCTCCATGTGTATTTTTTGTGGCCTTTGACATCATGTTGTTATTTCTGTACCTTGTTAAAAGGCCCATTAGTGCTGTCATCTATTGTGTGTGTGTGTGTGTGTGCGTGCGTGCGTGCAAGCACTGCTTTCTCAGCTTACCTGGTAGCCCAGGTGTTAAATTGGGGTTGCCATGGTAACTGGTTTCCACAGATTTGTGGAAAACACTACCCAAAATCCAGCTCCAAACAATCGAGCTGAGCAAACACAGTTCTGCAGTCTGTTTAGACCATGCTACAGTTTGCCATCGCACCTCAAAATAATGAAAAATCAATGAGAACTGAATTTTCTTGTGAATAAAACTGCACTAGGATAGTTTTGTTGTTTTGCTTTTCAGGTGTGTGCAGGGTTTGACTGTGCATTTTGGCAGGGTGTGTAGTTGTTGTGTTTGTTCAGGATAACTACTGTGTAAGCCTCGGTGAAGCTATTTTCTTCGTTGCTCGCATCGACTCAGATCAACAATGCATCTGATTCTCAGACTGATCAGCAGGGAAAAAGTGGATTAGATGTTTGTGTGTGCGCGCATGTGCAGTCATTGATGAAAATAGTACAGAAGTGTCGAGCGAGAGAGAGTATGAAACAGATAAGATAATCTATGTGCATGCAGTGGTTGGGATGAGATTGTGTATGTACCGTGTTCAAAAGTGTGTGTGAGTGGGTAAACTTATTGAATTTGTTAAGCTGAGATTCAGCATGCTTGTACATTCAAGGATATTAGGATAAATACTTTTCATCTTAAAACAATGTTTTTTTTTTTTTAAATGTAGAAACTTATATATTGAATTAAGCACTGGTATCGTACATTACATACTATGCTAGAAGTTGTGTATCACTGCTCTACCATCTGTTTTTACTGAACTTTTATGCTGCTCTGAGCGTCTAGTGTGTATGAAATTTCTGTCTATGGTTCTTGATTGTCTGTTTGAGTTGTTTATCTTGTTATTGTGTGTGTTTCTGTAGAAATTGGCTTGCTTTCAAACCCTAATCCATGCAGTTATATAAATTGCCTGTGTGAATGCGTGTTTGTGTGTGTGTTTGGGAGGGTGTTGCTGGCTGTCTAGAAGTCCTTGTTCTCTGTCGGATTAGGCCTCTTCGGGGTGGATCGATAGGGTACGCGAGCTGCAGCTTTTCACATGAAAGGAAGCGTTAGGTAGCATTACACTGGCTCTCTCTCTCTGCCAGTGTCTGAAGCCATCTGCACTATTCTGTTTATCGACCGTCTCTTTTCCCATCACATTTTAATTGGCCTGCCTGCATTCCTCCTGCCAAAGCCTTGTTTCCTTTCAAATGCTGTCCTCAACTATTATTTAGGTGTCTATGGCAAGAAATTGAGGCTATTGAAGGTTTTACATAGGATTTCAGATTCCTTACCAGAATATCAAGTGTCAGGATGAATGGTTACATTTTTAGCTGTCACATGCATGTTATGAAGCAGAGTGATTATCTGTAGGTGGGCTGAGAAATTTTTTAATAATCCTAAACCTCATAAAATGCTTTTTTTTTTATTTGTATTTTTTATGGATTATTTCATTTCGAGGGCACAGATTGGCCAAAGTGTGAAACCTACTCTATCACTGTAGGTCTTCTGAGTCGGAGTTGGCTGCATGACAGGCAAGTGCGTTATCTGCTATGCAAATGTAGACCATGCAGCATTGCTTTACCCGATGAAAAGGGTGGGCGGGCATGTGTAGCGTTAAGGGTCCTGCCAATTGCACATTCATTCATATTATGGAATGTGATTTTAATTTTTTTTTTATGAGCATAACAATGTAGGAGCCTCTGGACCTCTTTCTGCCATCTAAATTGCATTTATTTGTGAAACTACTCCATTAAGCATTTAGCTATTCAATTTAGAAAAAAAAATTGGTCTCCAAAACAAATTTTGGATTACTTTAATTACGTAAAACAGCTCCTGGATCTGTGAATTTCTCAGGGAGAAATAAATTGATTTAGCCATGGGGGACCCAACTCTTGTTTTTTTTTTTTTTTTTTTTTTTTTTTTTTTTTTTTTTTTTTCTGATTTTTTTTATGGGTTACTGTAGCCTTTCTGTCAGCTCAAACCAGTGTGGACACTCTCCCTTGACCGCTCTCATCCACAAGGCATTTCTATCCAACTACTGCTGACTGGATGTTTTTCTTTATTGCACCAACAGTGTAAACTCTAGAGACTGATGTGTATGAAAATTCCACAAGATCAGCAGTTATAGCAATACTTGGACCAGCCCATTTTACTCCGGCAATGATTGAGATCAAATTTTTTCCCGATGGTTGATATTGATGTTGTTGTTTCTTCTAATATTTTGAGATACTGGATTTTTGATTTCCATGAGCTGTAAGCCGTAATCATCAAGATTAAAACAAAACAAAAACATGGTTGAAATATTTCACTTGATTTGCAATGAATCTTGAATATATGAAGGTTCCACTTTTTGAATTAAATTACGGGTGGAAAAATTTAGCTTTTCCACAATATTCACATTTTTTGACATGCACCTGTAAACTAGCACATTGTGTATAGTATACATGCACAAGCCATTGACCCTCACCTTTTACTACTTCAATTGCAATTTGTTGGCACAATGGATGAAACACTTTTCTGTGAAATGTCCTTTACTCTATTATTTGTCACTGAAAATACAATATAGGCCACACAAAATTAGATGGTTATAGCACATAACAACAGTAATTGGAGGCTGTGGCGCAGGTGGTAGTGTGGGTTGTCCACTAATTGTAGGGTTGGCGGTTCGATTCCCGACCCGGATGACTCCACATGCCGAAGTGTCCTTGGGCAAGACACTGAACTCCAAGTTGCTCCCGATGGCAAGTTAGCACCTTGCATGGCAGCTCTGCTACCATTGGTGTGTGAATAGGTGAATGAGACTCAGTGTAAAGTGCTTTGGATAAAAGCGCTATATAAGTGTGCCATTTACCATTTCCATAACAACAGTAATTCCATGAGCGCAGTTTCAAGAGTGGATGGTTCCCCCACACTTCATTACTGCTATATGAATAACTAGCAATACCTACAGAGATGCTATTAATTTAACATTCATTACTGTTCAAGTGTCTCAGAACCGGATATAAGGAATCCTTAATGC